CTTTATCTTTGATAAATGCGTCATTTAAATACGCAAAAATCGAGGCAAAAATACATATATAATTATTATACCGGGTGCCCACGAGATCACTTTCCGGCTGCCATTTTTTTATTTGTCCATCGATATCAACGAAACTTGGTAGGGTTGATATTCTAACCAAACGCCATTTTCATGCATTTCTGACAAGTTTTCCTGACTTCCGGTTTCACCGGAAATGACCGAAACTTTTGATTTTTAAATGGCACACCCTGTATATTTTTTGTTTTTTGTATTCTACAGATCGTTTCACGTCCTAATGCACCGATTTTGAATCGAGTTTCTTCCAAATTTTGCTTTTAAATTGAATTTTACTCGGAATTTTAATTTCTTAACTAGAGTGCCATGATCATCCTAAAATGACTCTACATACTTTACTTAATTTCAGAAAAATACAAACTCAATTTTATCTTGTAAACTTTTTTGATAGAGGGCTGTGAACTCCAATATTCCAGTATTTTTGCCCTAGCTCAAAAACTAGAATAGAAACATATCACTTTCATAACATCACTAAATGCAATATTTCAAGGCGAATCCAATGATATAATACACTACGACATTTTTCATAATTTTCGTTTAAACATTTTTGATTTATTACTTATGTAGGTAATTTTTTTCTACTTAAAATTTAATTTGAAAACGAAATTTGGACAAAACTCGATTTAAAAGTGGTACCCTAGGATGTAAAACGATCTGTAGAATCCAAAAAACAAAAAATATACAGGGTGTGCTATTTGAAAATCAAAAGTTTCGATAACTTCCGGTAAAACCGGAAGTCAGGAAAACTTTTCGTGGATGCACAAAAATGGCGTTTCATTAGAATATCAAGCCTACCAAGTTTCGTTTATATCGATAAACAAATAAAAAAATGGCAGCCGGAAAATAATCTCGTGGGCACCCGGTATATTAGAGTCTCCAAGAACAAATATTATTTTGCGACAATTTGCTTTTAATTTAATTTAATTTCATTTTTTCAAACTTCTGGCCCTGGCTTTTAGGCTTCGACATTTTTTTCACGCACGAAAATTTGATTCTTGTGAGAAAGTGAAATGGATGCTCGACTAATCTGAACTTCTGGTGCGTGTATTTGTCTGCTTTTCCCGTCTATTGTCGGAAATAAGGCCATCAGGCAAAATACTGTTGAAATTGAACCTGCAATACTATTTACTTTTAACCGTTAAAAAAAAATTGCCCAATGTTTTTTTTTTTTGGTGCTGCTTAAATTATCTTAAGCTTTATTGTTTCAGTTTATATCTTACAGTGCAAATCTATATTACCGTCTACAATGCATTTCTTCAATAAATTATACATTCCAGTCTTATTAGACAGTTCAGCTAACCGATATCTTCGGCACGAGACTTGTTAATGCGGAACTTGCATTTCCGTCGAACACCTTCCTTATTTCCCGCACCACTGCCCCGCGATGTTTTCATCCTTATGGTAAATGCAGGAATGTATCAATTCTTTATGTATTTTTTTTCAATACAGACCTTTAAATTTCAATGTGCTACCTATATACCTACATTCCAAATTTGGTTCATCTTGAGATATGAGAATCTCCATCCTAGTTTGAATTTCATCGAAGTAAACAAGACTTATTGCCCAAGTGTACAGAATAGTAGAAAAAATAACAATGAAATATTTTGTGTCTGTGGACTACAGGTTCTACTGAAGACTCACTTTCCTGAGTCTGTCGTGAATAACATTTAGAACCAGCTAAGCGCCCAAAGTAAACGGCTTAATCGACCTTACAGCAGAAGTCACAGAATGAAAGGAAAAATTCTCATGCAAAATAGTATAAAATGGGCAATAGACAGCTTTATTAAGCCACCCTAGAAAAGGACGGTGTTTTATCCGCTTTGCTCTAAGAACCTTAAGGAACAGGGAACAGCTGCAGAAACCATTCGAATCTTAACCTTCACTCGGAGTATGGAAGAAGCCTGGCGTAATAAGGGCAGGAAACTGGCCAGAAGATCAACCAAAATCTTATATTCACCCATCAGCCTTATGTCTTTTCTTTTAAAATCTATGGAGAAAGCAATAGACCAATATGTCGGTAGTGTTTAAACAGGAGACTGCTTCATCCAAGACAATTCGGTTACCAAGCTGGCAAATCCACACCAAGTCCATTGTCTAGTAACAGTCATAGAAAAGGCACTTGGACCTAAAGAAATCGCTCTAGCAGTTTTTATCGACGTAAACCTCATACCCATCAATCAAAAATACCTTCCATAATAAGATGGATGGAGGAAATGCTATAACATCGCTCAGTATCGGCGGATATGAATGGAGCCACTGTTATTATAATCACGGTTAAAGGCTGCCAGTGTCTCATAAGTCACGGTCCAAACTGAAAGGGGTGATTTTTTGGTTTGTTTTATGCTTGAAATTTCTGATAAACATAGGACAGCAAACTTTCCGTTACTGATCTACAGGGTAGTGAAATTTTAATGTATTCATATTGAAAATAAGCAAGAATATGGCGGCAAGGGCGTGGCTAACTTCTAGATTCCTACTGAAAATGATCAAGAATATGGCGGCTCGACCTCTATTGTCGCCACTGTAGGTAGAAAAGGTATATTGAGACACTGTACACTTCAGTTTCATCTAGCTAATTACAGAGATTTGGTTTTTAATTTTTTTCTCGATAAGGGTCGGTAATTCGAAAAAACTACAAGAAAACAAAAAGTTTCTAAATAAGGTAGAAAAATCATTTAGTTCTTTAGAATCTACCCGCAGCGCACCGCAAAGAAGTTCAGGGACAAAAAAGGTATATGACCTCTGAAAAAACATCACCCTGTGAATTCTAGCAAACGTTTGAAATTTGCAATCATTTAGCTCCTATTGCGTAATCTATATTCCAAATTTCAGCTAAATCCCTCAAAAATTACAAAAGCTATAAAGAAACTAAAACTAAAAAAATATTGAAATTTCAACACCCTGTAGCTCCGTAACGACGCGTTTGCGGATCTACGTTTATTAGAAATTTTAGTCATAAAATGAACCAAAGAATCACCCGTTTCAGTTTGGACCGTGACTTATGGGACACCCTGTATATGCTATAGTCTATTTTTTTCAAAGCTGGTATAATGAAACTGCCACCTCATCATTTATTGCATGTGGTTCATTCACTCTTCAAAGGATTTAGGGGATTAAAATTGGTTGAGTATGATTGATTATACCAGCTTTCAATAAATAGACTATAGTAGCAGGCATTGGGGGCTATAATCAAAAATGGTATCTTGGATCTACGAAATGATCATCAGACTCATGATCACCTGCTCATTGGTTGGTAGGTCAAAAACTGAGCAAGCTACTGCTCAGAACTTATTAACTAATGTACAACGGACGACGCCTAATCTGTCTTGGAATAACAGGGCGTATGTCAACTGGCCTCACAGTATAATAAACATGCCTACAGTCTATTCTTGACAGAAAAACTCAAGCCCGGAGATCTTAATGGCCACTTACGCATCTACGGAGGCATAAAGCTAAAGTACCAAAGTGAAGCAACATTTCCATTAATCCATTTAAAATGGTTGTGAAGTACCGCCAGTCATGGAAGAACTACTCTCCCACAAGCAGACAACGCTTCATGTCGTACGCAGATAGAAGCTAACGCAGCTCAGCTAGGAAATAAATGGTCCAAACTTCAAGCTCTCCTTAGCAATGGAAAGGGCCCATAATAGTTCAAGCTTTACTGCTTGCTATAAATAAAGATACGTATGCCCAAGAGTGTCTTGACCTTGGAAGATGCCTTTGAAGATAGCTCATTTACGTCCTGTCAGATAGCCAAAGTGCACATTATGAATCTCAGGACATCAAGGCATAGATGGCCACGAGAAAGCAGGTTTTCTAGCAAAACAAGAGCGACAACACTTTTCCAAGGACAAGACAACCATTATGTAGAATGATGAATGATGAATAGCCACTTCATGGGGCAACTCATCAGACGGGAAAAGAACAACAGAAACAGCAGAATATCTGCTCTGTAAATACCCTGCTCAGTTTTGCAAGAGCCTGAAATACCTTGAACTGACCTCCATACTATCCAAGAAGCTGGCTTTTTTTGGAGAAGCCTACAAATCTTGGACATCACCTAGAAGCAGAGTGGTGCACAAAATATCTGGAAAGCGAAACTGATTTGAAAATCATAGAAGTGAACCTACCAAAAAATCAGGGAAACTGGAGGATGTGCGACTTCTATCAGCTGTGCTGTTACCTCATTTTCACGATTAAAAACTTGGTATGTGCGTTTCGATAATCTCCGTACGACGTACGTACATATACATATACATATACGTTAACATGTTTTTAATTCTAGCATTTTATTGAAATAATTCTCAATTTTTCTTGAAACTTATTATTAGAAATCCCAGCCTATATTCTAGACAAGATTCTGCAGTTTGAAATTCAAGAATGGTTTCCCACATTATTTTTTTTAAATTCCACATTGGAGTATCATTATATAGTCCAATTCCACCCATATACTGTCCATAAAAAAGGTTGAATTTGAGCGTATTTTTTCTTCAATAACAAATTAAGAATAAATTATGCAACACTAATACTACTTTTTTTACCTCGGTCTTCCCCAAATATGGTTATGCGCCTCGTTAAACATACACAAAGTTTTTCATGTGGCGTCCCCCCCTGAAAAACCGCCCGTGTACGGCCCTGATAAATCCTACACAGAGCCGTCACTTTACCGACAAAACAAGGCTAAAAACCGATCCTCATCAGTACACACCGCGCTCACCTGATGCAACACACCTGCCAGCACCGCGGCATTTTAAAATATCGCGCCGAGTGAATACAAACACCGCCTATCGCGAATAGGGCTCGACATTGTTTTTTAATTTTTGATAAACAGTGACCTATTCTAATATAAGTGAAAAAACTAACACTAACGTAACATTAACAAGTAATATTTTGCAAAATCTAACTCGAAAAAAAATCTAACCCAGCGTAAAATGTCTATGTACAAGTTCGTAAAAGACTCTAGTTCCAAAAGACTCTTCATGCAAGGAACCTCATCCACTAGCCCTAGTCCCAGCCCTATACTAGGTCCACCCATAGTCACTAGCTTGGACCAAGCAAATGGCAGCTACGACAACCTACAAGCAATACACACCAAGAAAAAGCTCTCTACTGAAGTTTTGGGTAGCTCGTTGGAAACTATCAAAACAAATCGAACTGGCGATGATGGTTCCAGAAGAATTACTACAAGGATAGTGCGCAAAGTGACAACATTAACGCGCGGCGAAGAGCAAAGTCGAGCAGAAGATTTACTGAAACGAGCTCAGCAACAAAGCATCAGGAGTGCCCAGGATGTTGCACGAGAGGCGGATGAGGTTTTAGTGAAGAGAGTCAAGGTTAGATATGTGACAATTTAAAATTTCCGCTAGTTGATTTAGAGGTAATGCTACCTAATTGTTGTTGTCACAAGGTGTGGCATGTGATTTGATAATTATGAATTGTTTACATGCGATGTGCTCAATTCTGCTCAAAATTTGAAGAACGCGTTTAATAAAAAAATTTGAGGGTAGAAGAGTACCTACCTAAGGAGAATACCTAGGTAGCCACTTAGCATCATTGTAGGTGAAAGGACACCTTCTTAAACATTGCTCACTTTGCTCCACTTTATTAATTATTATTAAATTTAATCCCCAAGAGATTAAAATAGAAAATTATTACTTACTCGTTCATATTAATTTTATGCGAATGTCGAATGTAATAATTAACATTCCTCTGCTGCAATTATCGATGATAAAATGAAAATAATCGAGAAATAAATTTAGCTTCGTTTGACATTGAACAACAAGTGGGCCTTCTGTTTATGGGCCTATTCATTATTCAGTTTAACGTTAATAAACAAGTTGAACCCACTAGCTAAGGTGGTATGAGTTAGGTTACTTACCTATTTAGGTCAGGTTAGGTTTTTAGTTTTTACATACTAAGTTCTTCTTTTTATGGCGTAAGCTGATCATTCACATGTCATCATTTACATTTTTATGTTATGTAAAGAAGCTTAAATGATTCTTGATCGATACTATTGTGTCAAAGAAAAGTAGGCATACATCATCTGATCTAGGACGGAAGATAGAGTTGTTGAAAACAACCAATAAATTTCATCTCAGAACCCCGCTGAGTAATAAATAGTATAAATGTCTTAACACACCGCGAAATTTCCGTTTTTTCACTTCCTCCTAGCGGCGAATTATTATAAGTAAATCTTTACCATCAATCACTGTTATAAATATTTTAGCTTCCTAGAGTAGACACCTCATTTTAATTCAACAATTAAAGTACCTAATTTACATTTTTTGAGTGGGAGGAAATTGGAATTAGGTGTAAATTGTTGTTCTCTACTGTTAATTTATTTTACTGGAAAGAATTCAGCCTAAATTTGTCCTTTTGATTGTGATAACTTTACGTTACGCTTTTGCACTAAATTCTTTAAATTGAAGAAGTAGTCTATCTCTTAAAGTGGAGTTGAACTTTAATTCAAAAAGAAAACAAAGTCTTCCACCCCAAAATACTTTAATCAGGTTTAAGCGCCGTACATATTTTGAGGCTAGTGAACCTCATCTTCAGGGCCAAGTTTGCTCATATAATACAAAATAGTTTAGGTCGCTAGACTTCGCATTTGGTAGGGAAAAAAAATAAACAGTTGAAAAATTTTAAAAGTTAAAACATTAGAAAGTTGAAAATAAACATCAGAAAATTAAAATCCTATTCAAACACAGGACACATTACAGTAAAGACTATTGAATCATTGAATGGATCAATTTTATATACAGGGTAAGTGAAACGTACTGCAACGCTTTAAGGGGTTGTGACCCACAAAAACAACTTATGGCCGTTTCCACCAGCTATTTTAGGGGAGCCTTAACGATAAGTATTGCTTAAAGTTACAGTCTTCCATGGGGAAATGTCAGTTTGAGGAATAATAATCGTTAAGGTCCCCTAAATTAGTTGGTGGAAACGGCTATTAAGCTACTTAAATTAGTTGGTGGAAACGGCCATTGATGGCCGTTTGCATCAACCATTTTGAGGCAGCCTTAACAATAAGTATTCCTTAAAGGACATTTTTACATGGAGAAACGTCACTTTAAGGAATACTTACCGCTAAGGCTTCCTTAGAATGGTCGGTGCAAACGGCCATAAGCTACTTAAATCAAGAAAAAAAATCTAAGATCTCTCGTGAAAACCACACTATATTCGAAATGGTAGCCGAGAAAATCCCTCATGAAGATAAATTATCCGGGAACTTGTGACGTCACACCGGCTAACCGCCGAAATCATAGTCTTCTGTTTGTTCAGTCATCAGTGAACCGTGCCCTATACTTTAAGTGGTTGCAATTTTTTCTAAGAGAGATCGTTGACTTTTGTTTTGGAAAATTTCACACGTGTTTTAACAGTGCCCCCGAAGCCGGTGTGACGTCACAGCCTACGCGCTCGTCACTTTAAACGCCCATACTCGAAAACGGTTCATCGTAGCATGATGCGGTTCAAATAATTTTTCTTGGGATTTTTTGCACTAAAACTTTCATTTTTGGGTCACACCCCCTTTAAATATCTTCAGAACCGCTTGAGCTGCGTTCACACAATTCGGAACCTGACAGGTTTTGGGCATGCGGAATTGAACAGTGCTATCAGCAATGTGCTCAGATTTGCCAGTTCTGCGCTACACGTAGGCTTTCTGTTATTTTAAATAGAATTCCCCATTTATTTTCATTGCAATGAATCAGGCATGCCAAATTATTAAATATATTAAAGTAAAACGGCTCCAAACATCACTGAAAATGGGAAAAAAAATGTAATTTGCGTGGGCGGGGGGGAGCTCGCTGTCACTCCGTTTAAATTCCCGTCAATTTTTTCCATTTTCAGTCATGTTCGAAGCCGTTTTGCTTGCGATAAAAAAATTAAATGGAAAATCTGAGATAGAGGATGGATAGTTTGGCATTTCGACTTATCAGTGGACTTTTCAAAATAAATATAAAAAAATTATCCTCAATTCGACAGACTGCTTTAGAAACATCCCCATTTTGCTTGACAAGGGTATTATGCCGAAACGACCTATCGGACCGGGCCCAAATTTGGGCTCAATAAAACCTGCCTCATCTACTTGTGTAAAAAATTATTTGTCTAGCATGAAAATTAAAAAAGTTAGGAATTTTTTACGGAAATCTCTTTTTTTGGGGGAAAAAAATCATTTCTCGAAGACTAAAAGACCTACAGGGTTGTATGATGGTTGGATGATGGCTCATTTTAAAGCTTGTTCAACGCTCTAAAACTATTGCCACAGTAGCAAAACCATCCGATCCTTAGTTTTCGAAATACAGTGAAATAAACAAAAAAAAGCCCTGTTTTTGCACTAAATATTGTTTATAAAATCCCCTAAAAGTAATTAGATGTTGCATTTTTGGTGTTTAGCATCTATAAATGATCCTTAACAATATTGTATCGATAGTTTGCTGTTAAATTTTATGTTAAAATATGGCTGTTATTTCGCTAAGTGCCTTGGCCTATTATATGAGCAAACTTGCCCCTAATAATAAGGTTCACTAGCCTCGAAACATGTAGGGCGCTCCAACCTGATTAAAGTAAAGGGTGTTCCAATAAGAGTTTCCGAATGTTTTTTTTTCAATTCAAACGAAAATCAAACTAGGAAACATTTAATACTTTATACCAATAAGTAACATGATCGTTTACAATTATACGTGGAACACAATATCCAACAAATGGCCACCGCGTCTTCTCTCACAGCACACAATTCTTTTGCCATAATTTTCGATCACATCTGCATATTTCCGGTGGTATCTGACGAATAATGCGCTGAATCACATCTTTCAACTCTTGAATTGTTTGGGGATTGTTCACATACGCTTAACTTTTCCAACAAGACGGCGGAACATGTCACACAGCAAGAAAAACCATTGACTTATTGCAAACGTGGTTTAAAGGTAAACTTCTTTCAAGAAATGGACATGTTAATTGGCCGCCCAGATCTTGCGATCTAATGCCACTAGATTTTTTTTGTGGGGTTACACAAAAGTATATAAAGCGTATGTGAACAATCCCTGAACAATTCAAGAGTTGAAAGATGAGATTCGGCGCATTATTCCTGAGATACCACCGGAAATGTGCACAGATGTGATCGAAAATTTTGGCAAAAGAATTGTGTGTTTTGCGAGAAGTCGCGGTGGCCATCTATTAAGTATTAATGTTTCCTAGTTTGATTTTTGTTTGAATTGAAAATAACATCCGGAAACTCTTATTGGAACACCCTTTACTTTGTGGGAGAAGACTTTGTGTTTTCTTTTTGAATTAAATTCTTTAAAATTTGTACAATTATTATGAAACGTTTAAATCGAGGTTTGAATAAAAAAAAGAATATAAACTTCAACATAAACCAAACATTTTAGTGGGTACCGTTTTGATATGGATGGGCGCGTAGAATAATCATTCACTATTCACAAAATGAGCTGCAGAGTGCAGATTATACATTTTAGGGTTCATTGAGAGAGAACTGGAAAAAAATAGAAGGTACCTCTGATGAGAATAAAGCATGAGATCATCAACGCAAATATTAGTATAGTATATATGTACCATTATGTTTATTCCTTTTATTATGCTTACGATGTTCCGTCGTTCCGATATTTACCGGTTGACGTCAATACTCTTTTAATAGGTACAAAAAGACAACCTTATAATAAGCTGCACCTAGATAAAAATAATGTTGACAATAATGTTAAAAATTATCTTTTTTTGTTGTGAGGTGTATGTGACTTCTCCCAGGTTTACTGAATCAATTTTTATTCATATTATAACCTCGGACGAAATGAATTATAAATTAAGCTTTGCATAATCATACCTTGCAAACTATCTTATCAGAATTTAACAGTTAACTTTGCCTTATTAATTAACTTGATACCGATCTTAATTATTTATGAAGCTGTGAAAGTTTACTATGTAAATTTTTATCTCACCTCTACCCAAGCAGTCTGAATTTTTATTAAATTATACACCTAAGTACAACTTAAAAATTTAATATCTGGCCCTGGTGAAATTTAATAAAATCTGAGGCCTGTGAAATATTACACGGCAGTTGAGCAATAAGATTTATTGTATGCTTATCATTTAACTTTAACACAGATCATTAAGTATAGCAACTTGTTGAGAAAAATCTTAATGGTAATTTGTATTTATCTAGCGTATATAATGGAGCGCAAAGTGGCGCCTAAGGTGGAAGGTGGATCAATCCTATAATGATACAGTCGACAATAGTGACTTAACTATTGTATTCAAAGAAGGCGTAGGATTCTTTATATCATAAAATTCGAACCTTTAGACTTACTGGAATTTAAACTAAATTTTGTTTTAGATTTCCGATATAATTGTCGGTCAAGAACCCAACGTTTCCGCCAAAGATTACCTGCTCCGATGGGCCAAACGTACGGTACACAAATACCCTGGAGTCCATGTCCAAGATTTCACCAAGTCCTGGAGGGACGGTTTGGCTTTCAGTTCCATTTTACATAGAAACCGGCCTGATCTTATCGACTGGGGCAGAGTGCGTAATCAACGGCCTAGAGAACGTTTGGAAACTGTGTTCTATATGGCTGAGAAGGAGTATGGAGTGACCAGGCTCTTGGATCCAGAAGGTAGGATGATTCAGTATCTTATGTAAAATTTTAACCTTCCTAGCATTGCGGAAGATATTGTTTTCGGTGTCCGGCACACGATAGCTCCGGAATCGTTGGATCAATTTTCATGAAATGTTAATGAAAAATCGTTTCCGAAACTGTAACGTGCTGAAGAAAGTTTGGTGATTCATATTACCATATGACAGTTTTTCGACAGCTGAAAGATTTTAAAAAACTTTTAAACCTAGCATCATATTAATAATAATAGCTGCTTTTTTTCTAACACCTATCTTAGCTAACCTAAGTTGTTCTGAAATAAAGGACCGTTTTTTCTAACATCTTAGGTAAGTTTATGTCAGTCGAAATTACCTCCCCTCTTGCCTATGCTAAGGATGCCGGATTCCATCCTTAGTTCAATTTCTTACCTGAGGTTATGTTTATTCAAGCTTAGGATCCTCCGTCCATCTAAAGCCCGGGACACATCTATCATGCATTCTTCCGATCCGACTCCGATCATACAATCAGGGTCCTTATTCTTGAAACAGGGAGCAGCGTTCCCAGGAGAACGCGTGTTCCGCTGCTCCCCTGTTCCAAGAATAAGGACCTTGATTGTATGATTGGAGTCGGATCGGAAGAATGCATGACAGATGTGTCCCTGGCTTAATGTGTACTTTTGAACTACAAGTTAGCTCAGCTAAGAATTTCAAAGTTAGCTAAGATAAGACAGTGTGCAGAAAAAAACCAGCTAATATCCGGTTCTGGATTATAGTAGACACATTTTTCTCAATGATTTGTATTAATATGGAAATGTTCGTAGGAGCTTTCATAACTGTTTTAAAGAGAGATTTTTTGAAACAACTTATTGTTTCCAATGAAAAATCCTATCTGACTCGATAATTTTTTTGTTTTTTTTTATACATTGAATAATATTGAGCTAGGAAGGTATACGATCCTTCATGGATCCATTTATTTCATGCAAGTGTTACCGACCTGCTCGACACCATTTCAACTGAACTAAAAAGGTATTATTTCAGTTGATTGGATTAAAAACTATATAGGTTTTCACATAATAATTATATTATTGTCACTCAAAGACAATGAGAAAAGTATGCATTGCTGGTGCATTTTTTTAATTAAAATAAAATCATAACGTGTATATAGGTACTTAGAGAGGAAAGTGCGATAATTAGATTAAATTAGTTAAAGTATTATTATGCATAGGTATTATAATTTTTTATTTACGAATAATGTATAATGTGCTTATTATATTTGTGATTTTGGCAGTATAATGACATATGTTATTCCTCCAGGGATTAATGACGAGTAGCGGGATTAATGGTCATTATTCCACAAAAGTGTCAGTGTCAAACGTGTAGTGCTTGTGGATTTGTATTGAAAATTATGAGACGGATGAAATTTGTTCATTGAAAATCTCAAATAAATTAATTTGTCGTAAATAAAGTAGAGTATACTACTCGCAATAATGGCTGTTATTATTGACTCGTGGTATAATCTACTATTGTATGTCCACACTAATCAATTTCATCTCAAGCTGGTAGTTACTGTCACTTTTATGTTTTTATGTTCGTCTGCTATGGGGACGGAAGCGCTCAATTGCTAAAGACAATTCTATATCTTTTTGAGTTATTTGCTTGTGCCGCGACATAACAAAATACGGATTTACGGTTTCGTGGCCGTTTAACAATAATTTGTTAATAAAAATAGCCTTGAAATATTACTATGATGAATGCAATTATTTTGTATTTTACTAGCCGCATCTGGCTATCAGCTTGTTAGGAAAACACTAAAAACAGTTGTCTGTATATTTTTTAAAAAACAGACAATACATTTTAACATATTGTTATTAAATTGTTTTCAGATGTCGACACTCACGAACCTGATGAGAAATCGCTCATCACCTACATTTCGTCTCTGCATGAAGTATTTCCGGAGCCTCCGCCAATTCACCCGCTTTATGATTCTGCTGCACAACAAAGGCTACAGGAATATAGAGAAATTGCGAGGAATTTGCAAATGTGGATTCGAGAAAAATACAGCCTTATGCAGGTTAGTAGAAATAATTCCTTCTTGAACACAAACTAATGTTTTTCAATAAATTCAAATCTTGCAATTCATTATACAGGGAGGTTTTGCCCAAATGATAACTTCGGAACGCATCATCTTATATTCCACGGTATAATTTTTTATCATTTTCTTTAACAAAGCCTCAACAAATATGGCATCGCCGATTTTGTAATTCAATTTTCTAACGAAAAATGCCATAATATACCATGACTTACATTTAAGATTCTAAAGTTGACGTCACTTGACTTAAATTGAAGCGAAAGTGATGAAATTAGATGACAATGGTAGAAGCGGCACAAAAAGTTACCCAGATCTTCAAAATTTCAATTATATTGGATGACGTGTTCCGAAGTTATCACCTGGGAAAAACGTCGTGGGACACCCTACATAAACAATCTATTGTAATCGTATAATATTTGTTCTTGCTGATAATCCATAGCTTTTCTTTGCTTAGGTTCAACTAAGGAAATCACAATTTACACCATTGCTATATTTGAAATCAAAAGAAACACAAAGTCTTCGACCACACATTTTTTTTAATTGAAAAATTAAGAAGCCCTACGTGTTTCGAACAAAACATGTACAATTTTTCGACTCTCATCTTGACTAGTTTCTGAAGTTGTCTTCTTCTCTTTACAACTGAGTCCAGCGGCTTCAAATTAAATGATGTAAGACTGTATAAGTAAGTAATATTGAGCAAACTTGCCCCTGATGATAAAGCTCTATAGCTTCGGACATGTAGGGCTCCTTATTTTTTCAATTAAAAAATTTGTGTGGAGGAAGAATTTGTGGTTCTTTTGATTTCAATTTTCAACTCCACTTTGAGTCATGAACTACTTTTCAATTGCTATATTTGTCAAAGAGATCAATTAATAAGTTCCATACGAATAAAAATTACCTATAAATTATAATATGTTTTTTTTAATTACCTATCAATGTTTTCAGGATCGCAGTTTTCCTCCTACTCTGATAGAAATAAAGAAACTCTCTGCAGAATCGACCAGATTCCGCACTGATGAAATTCCTCCTAGACAAAGAGACAAACAATACTGCCAACAACTTTACAGAGATTTGGAAACTTATTTCAGAAGCGTAGGCGAGGTACTGCTCAAGAATATCACTATTCTAGGATTACTTATTTATAACTTTTCGAAAAATTTTAGGACGATATTGAACCAGAACTGCACATAGACAATATCGAAAGAAATTGGCAGAGGCTGATGACGGCCTACCAAGAACGTGACAGGCACATCATGGAAGAAATTAAGCGCCTAGAAAAGTTGCAAAGGTTGGCCGAAAAAGTCCACAGAGAAATCAAGCAAACCGACTCTAACCTCGACCAAATTGAACAAGCTATCGAACAGGAATCTCGAAGAATCGAACGACTACACCCTCTGGAAGCCAAAAAAGTTGCTGACCAAATCGATCACGATCTTGTTGTGACAGAGCAAGCTATTCAGAGTCTTAAGACGGACGTAAACACTTTGCGTAATGGTAGATACCCCCAGGTAAAAACATGGAGCCAAAAAAAATTTTACTAATGTATTGAGGTACAGTCGGAATCATTGCAATTATTGGCACACACTCTTTAAAATTCCTTGTATTAAGTCAAAATTCTAACCAATAAATCTATTTCATGGTTTTTGGAGTTACGTAAATTCAAAAAAAAAAAAAAATGCAAAAACTTTTCCTACTAATACGTCTTCCATAAATGAAAATGCTGACACACCACTTGGTATTGCTGAGCTCTTTAACTCTTTAAAGGCCATTTTTCGTCTGTATATGCGAAATATGATAAGACCTAATTTAATGCCTCCTACGACTTAACCGTAAATCTAAGTAGCATTAAAATCGAGGTTATGGATGTCTTTAGGCTATGGTCCGAATATAACCAAACGTTCACCAAAGTAACCGAATTGGTTTACAAGTGGTTACTGAAAATTCCGATTACTTAGGGAACGCGAGCTTCTATCCATAATGTTTTTCTGTATGAAATAAAAAATAATTGACAGAAACCATTCAAACCAACATTCGATGGCCGGTAACTATTTTGACATTTGGTTAACCAGATTTCGAGAAACCAAGTTTCAAAAGTAGCCACTTTTCCAGGAACCAGTAATTTGATTACTTTCGGAACACAAAACCATAACACTGGTTATATTCGGACCTTAATAAAATTTCACAATTAAAATCTCACCTGAGTAGTGGTCCAGATAATATTCCTGTTTATGTCATAAAGAACTAAATTTGTCAATTTTCTTCTGTTTTATGTCAGATATAACAAATCATTATCTCTTGGAGTGTTTCCAAGATGCTGGAAACTAAGTCATGTCATGTCGCACCAATACTCAAAAGTGGAGACAGATGTAAGATTGATAATTACAGACCAGTTGCTAAAACATCAATTTTTTCAAAAGTTTTTGAGGCAATAGGGAACTTGCACATTAAATGAAATGTGGAATAAATAATAAAACACAATAATAATCATCCTAATAAATGATGCAGTTAAGAAAAAAATATAATATCTTATCTCTGGTGTCCGAAATCTTCAATTGAAAATACCAAATAATTCGAAATTCATGACGCGATCAAAAACGTGTTTCTATGGGCCGTGACGTCACAAGGCAGTAATAATCGTGTGGCGCCGCTGCCACGTCATGTGCTGCTGGTGTTGCCAATGTCAAATCTATCAGAAACTGCATACATAACAACATAACCATAATCCGTTAAGCGCCATGGCGGTCCCTAGGGACCGCCAAAGGAAATACCCCATACGCCATGGAGGTCCCTAGGGACCGCTGCGTATTTATTCCAAATTATTTGTCGCAGAAGCCAGCGGTCCGTTCCTATGCCTGTTTGAGCATGGTAGGCGGACCTCTCTGGCCTGTGCGGCATGCACACCTATGCGAACTTTTTGATTCGAAAAAATATTCGTGTTTTTTTTAAATTTTTATTGCAACGTGTACAATTTTGTTAAAATACAGAGCAAACTAACTGATAGATTCTTGTAAACAACAGAAGAAGCAGGAAATAATTAAATAAAATAAGAAAAACAATAACAACAGTAGATAACACTAATCTACTTGTGACACTCATTGAAGCAGTCCAAACAGTAGTGCGGATTTTCGTCACAATTGCCGCAATATGTGGTTACTTTTGGCACTTTATTTTTGGGAATGAATCCTTTGAGTTTTTTTTCATAACAGCCTTTACAGTAGCGCCTAACTTTATGGGCGATGCCTTCTTTTTTTTTCAGTACATGAACCTCTCTTTTTTTTCCGGATTTTGACGTAGATGGCCTATTGATCTCCTCTTCCTCAGCTGGAAACATGAAACTTTCTACGATGCTTTCTTTGAAATCAGTAATAGACATGGATTGGTCATTTATAGATTTATATAGAAAATGAGCGTTAACCAAGGCAGTACCAAAGATCAGTTCAATCGCTATTTTCCTGTACCACTTCACCGTTTTCCTTAGTGCGTTGTTGTAGCTTGCCATTTGATCCGATAAGTCGATTGAACTCTTAGCCTTGTTGTATTCCATCACAGCTATTGGTTTCTCTATATCGCCAGTGCGCCTATGTACAATAACAGTTTGATCTGCATGCTTTGTTGAAAGCATGAGAACATCTCTCTTGTCTCTCCACTTCAAAATACAAATACCCCGACTATTTTCTTTCACAGCAATTTCTCCAGGCCTTAGTTTTTTAGTTGTTACTTCCTTCGGGTTGCCTCTTCGATTTGACCTTAGAGTCCCCAGAAGATGTGTTTTTTTATCCAACAACTTGTTCGCTAGCTCTAAGCTGGTATAATAATTGTCGGTCACGACTGTACGTCCAGAGTCCAAAAGTTTCTGTGAAAGTGTCATAACGACATTAGTCGGAACAGAAATTTCAGCATCTCGGTGCTTGCCACAGTATAATTTTATGTTCCACGTATAACCGTTATCAGAACAAAGTTTGAATAATTTAACTCCATATTTATGGGTTTTATTTGGAATGTACTGTTTCATAATAAGTCTTCCTCGAAATGGAATTAAACTTTCATCTATGCAGAATTGTTGCGAGGGTGTGTATGCCCTTTGAAATTTTTCGATCAATAAATTCATGAACGGCTCAATTTTATATCCACGATCGCCCTCAGGACACATATCGTTGTCTGTGAAATGCCAGATATTCAGAAGAAGCTCGAAACGATTTCGACTCATAACTTGTCCAACTACGCTATTTTGATATAGTCGTTTGCGTTTACTCCAATATGTTTCTAGTCTAGGTAGTTTGACTAACCCCATGTAGCCTACTATACCCAGAAACTTTTTCATTTCCCCTACGTTTGTTGGTGTCCAAGCATGGAGACGGCTATTCGCCGTAATATCATCAGCATTTATAAGCTTCTGTGTCGCATAAAGATTTGTATGGTCTGTCATAATTTTTAGGATTTCATCATCCACAAAAAATGAAAAAAAATCACTGGGACATGAGCCTATTAGTGCTGCAGCAATTTCTGGGTTGACACCAGTGTTTTCAGGGTTGAATATAAATTTTTGATGATTTCCCACAGGATTACTCCATTCAATATTGTACGCGTCTACAGTTATTTGTTCGTTTTCATCACTATCGAGAACGTCTGGAAGAATACCTGGTATTTGCTGAATATTTTCTTCCACCTCATGCTCCGGAGTTACGAGAGTGGCTTCTGGGATTGGGTGTACTTCAATAGATTCATCTGAACCTCTTTGAAGTAATCCGGCGGGTATTTTGTGTACATCGATTTCGTTTTCCGAATCACTTTCCGACTCAGTTTCGTTCAACTGGTATGTTGGATCTTCCATAGAATCCGAAGAACAGTGATAAGGATCCTCAGCCTCACTTGCACTCGAAGACGAATCTAAAAACAATAAATTTTATACTACAGCACGAAAAAAATAATTCAATGTTCTTACCATCGCTAAAGTTCGATTTCCAACTCTTTTTTGCAAGTTCTAAAATGCGTTTTGTACGCTGACTCATTATAAAACAGGAAACGAGAAGATTTTACACACTGTAATACTTGACCTGCACACTTCGACAGTCCAAGTGCGACCACACTGTTTACCACCGACTCATTTGCGCAACGGAAAAAATCTGGCTGCGCGAGGCTCCGAGCACAAATCAAGGTTAACGGGGACCGCTGGACGGACCGCTATGGCGCATGCGGAATATAGTTCCGCACACGCCACGGCGGTCCCTAGGGACCGCCAGAAAAAAAAAATTGGAATTGCCAAAAAATAACTGTCAAAATCAAAATTACAGATGTTTTCATGAAATTTGTAAACTAATAAACCAATAAAAGACAAAATTATTACTTGGCCCAGGGGGCCCTTTTTCAACATTTTGCCTGGCGCTTAACGTGTTAATCTACCTGCTCGAAGTTCGAAGTGCTCGTCACTGTCATCGGAATTTTGTTGCTGAGTGACGTCACACTAATCGGTCGTTTCAAATGGCGATGTTTTCGAATGTAATACCACAAGAGGTTTCAGGATTACCGGATAATACTTTTACCTGTCACGAAACGCGTTACGCAGCAACACCACGACTCCGAAGGAGGAGTGGTGTTGCTGGAAACGCGTTGAGTGTCAGGTAAAAGTATTAGGAAATCCTGAAACATCGAGTCGTATTTAAAAGGTTATACAACGAACCAAACTTCAATACTTTATTGATTTTTATTGGCAAATGAACAATATTGCCACCAAGTGCGATAATCCCAAAAGGCTTATCACTTATTAAGCCTCTCCTGTCATATGGGAATAATGTACAGTGAGTTGTATAACCAGCGTAACTTCAAATATTTATAAAAAATTAACGGCTGATTTTTAATGCTTGATATTTGGTATGACTATGTTTTTAGTGTAGTAGAACACATTTTTGAAATTAAAAAAAAATGTGCAAGTTCCCTATCATACCAGAGCAACATGGCTTTGTCAGGGGAAAATCCACAGTTTCAAACCTGTTAATCTTGGAGCAAACCCTGTTTGGTGCGTTAGGAAGGTCATCAGGTTGATGTGATTTACACAGACTTCTTCAAGGCATTTGACAGAGTTGACCACAAGATTTTGAAAGCAAAACTTGTGTTCCTGGGAATTCTGGTATTTTTCACAAATGGCTAGTCAGTAATCTTTCAGATAGAATTAAAAAATTCTCTTTCCAGTGACATTTGTGTAACCTCGGGTGTTTCGCAGGGAGGGCATTTGTCGCCACTACTATTCAATTTGTTCTTAAATGATGTGAAGACTGTTGTTAAAAGCTGCAAATTTCTGAATTTTGCAGACGATAAAAAAAATCTTTACCGTTATTGAAAATATCAGTGACTGTTTGACCCTTCAGGAGGAACTCAATCATTTTTCAAATTGGTGTAATAGAAATCATCTTGGTTTGAATATTAATAAATGTTAAATAATATCCTTTCTCAATTTGAAAATCCTTCATTTTTCAATTACCTATACCTATTCCATTAATAACACAGAACTTGACAGGTTTTCTTGCATTCGTGATTTGAGAATATATATGTATTTAGATGTTAAATTAAACTTTATTGAACATAATGAGAGGATCTGAAACAAAGCAATGAGATTATTGGGATTTGTACTTCGTAACCTAAAGGACTTCAACAATATCTATATACTTAAAAACGCTTACTCTGCCATTGTTAGGCAAGTCCTCGAGTATGCAAGTCCTGTCTGGTCCCTTTTCTATGAGAATCACAAATATCAAATTGTCAGAGAAAACTTTTACGATTCATTGCATTCAAAATTGGATTCCCCCTTGATTCTATAGCTTACAACGACTTGTTAAAACTATAAAACTTGCAAACTTTTCAACGTAGAAGAAATCAGCAGGACTTGTGCATTCTTTTTAAGTTAGTGAATGGTATTGAATGTACAGTCTCCTGAATTATATCACAAATTGGTTTTATTGTTCCACACAATAGTAATACTCGTAGTAATAAATTTTTTTATGTTAAATATCACCGAACAAACTATGGTTATTATTCCCCCATATCTAGAATGTTGAGTCTTGCAAATTCTGTTTTAGTGGATTCTAACATCATAACAACGATTAACAGATTATAGTAATATTATGGCTGGATATGTGTAAAGAATACTTATTACCTTTATAATTATAAATTTATATCTGTGATTTGAATTATAAAATACATTTTGTATGTAGGCTGGCGAACTGGATAAAAAGGTAAACAAACTACACGAAAAATGGGTACGTCTAAGGCGTCATTTGCACAACAAAATAGTCGGACCATTGGCAAATATGAGCTTCCCAGTGGAAGAGAGAACTGTTACTAAACACATTAGGACAGTTCAAGAGACCAGGAATATTGAAACCAATCCCCACTTTAGGTCGTTACAAGAACATATTGAGTGGTGTAAAAATAAACTGGTAAGTAATTGAGCTATTATAAAACGCAAAAAATTAATTTTTCTTTAACTAGAAACAACTGAAAAGAGCAGACTATGGCACTGACTTACCATCAGTTCAACAAGAACGGGATTCTCACCAACGCGAACACAAAAGTATTGAGCAGTACCATTCCAAAGTTGAGTCTTGCGTAAAAGCTCAGCAGTACTTTAGCGGCGAGGAATTGTCCCTTTATAACCAACATTTAGGGCAATTACAAAAAGTTTATGCTGAACTGCTGTCGTTCAGTACCAACAGGGCCAATGATTTGGAAAGTTTCTATGATTTTATCCAATCAGCTACCAGAGAATTGCAATGGCTAAATGAAAAAGAAGAAATAGAAGTTACCCGAGATTGGAGTGATGTTAAATTGGATGTAGACGGTGTTGAGAAGTATTTTGAGGTAAGTTGCATATTTAAAACTAGTAGAGTGCCACGGCGCGTAAAAGTGGTTTAATTTCTGTTCCCGAGGCACTTTTTAGCTAACAGGGTTCGACCTTGGAAATGAATTGAGGACATTCTGTAGAGAACTGATCCACTTGTCCCAAATTCGCCCAAGCCTTAAGGTCACAAATCAAATTTTTATAACTAAAAGCATCCCGCAATTCAGCACAAAATTCCGTACATCCTGGCAAATTATTAAATTTCCCGTACAAATTATATTTTTAATTAACTATTGAAAATTCAAATTAACATTACCGTTTATGCGCCAACCGAAGACAAAAGTCGAATTATTTCTGTTTTATAACGCTAAAAAAGTGATAATTTTTACTATCATTTTGTGTTAAATTTGCGTTATCTCGAAAACTATTCCAGATATTAAAAAAACTTACACCTGATAAAATAAGCTCTATGATCTTACAAATCTTTTAAAATTAACTTCAAATTTTTAGAGTTAAGTATAACTGACATATGAAATAATTTTTAAAATGATGCGTAATACTCAGTCTGGGTCGCTGCGTCGCTGCTGCCGAAGGTTCTTTTGGGCTTATGTAATTTTAAACTCCGAATACGCGAATATTGCTTGTTTATTCCATGGTAAAATTTGATTCTCCGAGTGTTTTTTTTTTAAATATTTTCCGTCTCATATAAACAGCTCATCATCTAGTGATGTCCTACTTAATTTTAAGAGTTTTTTAGCATTTAACAATTTACAGCAATTTAACCAGGTTCGTAATGCAAACAATGTTATACTTGGATTTATAATTTCTACTCTCAATGATGTGAGTGTCAACATTGATGATGATCCACTGTTACCAGTGGATCCTCATCATCCTGGCTTGATTGCTGTCCTACCAAAAGCTCTCCGTGAATTAGTCTGTAAACAATTTCCCAATACGAAATATAATTTTAGAAAAGCCTATTTTGTGGATTTGTATAACCGATTCAAACACCAAAACTGGAATTGTCTCGAGAATTTTACTGATGCTAACTTAGCAGTAGGAAAGTTTTATGATATAGTTTATAGTATATTCTGTGATTGTGTACCAAAATCCACCCAAGTAGGCACAAAATACCCTGTTTGGTTCAACGGAGAAATTATTAATTCAAACGTAAATATTTTTTAAAATTTAAACGTTTTAAGTCCTATTTTTGGGGTAATAAGTACAGAACCCTGCGAAAGGACCTTAAATGTAAGATTGGGGTAGCACATAAAAGGTACTTGCTGGATGTGGAGAGTAGCTTAATGTTAAATCGTAGGTATTTTTGGTCGTTTTTGAAAGGCCATAAAGAGAGTCAAGACAGACAGATGGTCTTCTGGCATATATTCTTAAGAAGTGTAGTGAGTCTTTGGTTGAACCATTGAAATCTATTTTCACATTAAGCCTGAAATCTTCCATTTATCTTGATCAATGGAAATCTAGTAAGGTAATTCCTATTTATAAAAGTAGACCTAAAAAACAGATCAAGAACTATCATCCGATTAGTATTGTGTGTGCAGTGTCTAAAATTTTCGAGAGAATCCTATTTGAGTTAATTTTTAATGAAGCCTTTTCTAAAATCACACAATTTTAGCATGGATTTCAACCAAAAAGATCTACTTTCACTAACTTAGCTGCATTTTCCCAGTTTCTCCACGAGTCGCTGAAGAGAAATGCTCAGGTGGATGTAATTTATACAGATATGGAAAAGGCATTTGATAAGGTTACACACTGTATAGTTGTGAGAGCATTGATGGATATGGATGTTCCCCCTTATTCAATTAATATTAATAAATCCTACCTCTTTAAAAGGAACCAGTATGTGGAAATAAAAGGGTGTAAGTCTGTAGTCTATGAAACTACATCAGGCAAGGTTCTAATCTGGAACCTCTACTTTTCTTGGTAGCAATAAATGGTATTGTTGATGTGGTGAAAGAGTCCAAAACGTTGCTGTTTGCTGATGACTTTAAATTGTATGAGAGCGTTACGTCTCAAGATGACTGTCATAGTATTCAGCGTGATTTGGATTGTGTTGCTGTCTGGTGTGATAGAAATGGATTTAATATGAATGTTGATAAGTGTTCCTGTATGTCCTTCTCTAGAACAAATTTATTTAAGCAATCACCTAATATATATCAGATGTGTCAGATGGTTAATAAGTATGCTTCTGACGTAGATATAGACATGATTGGCTTTTGTTGTAACTTAGTTTTAACTCTTTTAATTGTATATTGTATTTCTAGACTGAGCGAGTGTCTATAATTGGCTGTTTGTAGCTGTTGATACTTATGGTATAAATAAATATAGGTAATAAGATCCCAGTCTTTTCACGGCTATTGGTACTGTGTGTGTATTAAAAAGCTCTGGTATTTTTTTTTGACTTTGATGTTTTTTATAGAAGTAATAACCTGTAAAAAGCGCGAAAACTTAGTGACTTTAGAAGAAAGAGAAATATCAGCTAAAGGGGATAGTGAATTACCAACGTGATAAAGCCTTATTGTTTAAAACACATACTAAAAATTTTCTAGATTTATTGTGACACAGAAGCTGCTATGCTATGAAAGATGATGCAATTAGAAAGCAAGTAATCTGTGAAGATAATAGCGAATCAATAATAAAAGATGTAAAATCCAACTTACGAAAATTTAATTTTTGTGTCTATAAGTGCCGTTTTTTGTCAAAAGCAATCAGCAAAAAGATTATGCAAGGTTTTGACAAAAAATACGGAAAGGAGAATCAAAATGATTGATGACCAAAACAAATAAATTTTTCAGCGGAAGGTAAAATACCAGCTTCTGCGCCACAATAAATCTAGAAAATTTGTAGAATTTTTAAACAATAAAAATTTTATCACGTATCTAATATTAAGTCACTGTACCTTTAAGCTGATATGCTTTCTCTTTCTTCTAAAAAATTTAAAAATGTTAAAAATGATTTTTGCGGACACAAGTTTACGCACTTTTCACAAAAATTACCACTAATAGGCCAGTACAATTAGGAGTCAACATCAAACTAATTTGGGACAAGCCAATTTCTGCATTATGCTACTAAATAAAAGGTGTATAATATCTATATTAAAATCCCCATACCTGTGAGAGGGGAACTATCTCAAAACAACCCCAAAATTGCAAGTTTAGAGTTTTACTTTATAATTTTTTTTATGAAGGTTTTTCGGAAAAATGACAGGAGACCTTTTATTTTTTAAATCGAATTCCCTATAAAACGATCTTGAAAAAAGTACGTGGGGGGTGGAAAAACTATAGAAAAATGCATCCAAACTTACAAAATATTAGAATATTCTCAAATATAACATATTATGAAAGATCTTTTTAGATATAGCTTTTATTATCATTAATAGAAAGTGAAAACTGATGCATTTAAACTCAATTTTAAATTAGTATTTGAACAAGAAATTTGGAAAAATCAGAAGGAAACAAAAATTAATAGGTATCAACAGTCTCCTTCAACTGACGACACATCCTTTGCATTGTCGTAATACTGCCCTACACATGCTCTGCAGCTTTGGGTATATTTAATATCAATTAGTTTGTAGCTACAACTTCTTGAACAGCCTTTGCATCAAAACAAAAATTTTAATGTAAAATTTGGAGCTATTTCCTTCAAATTTTTTTCTGGTTCCAAACAACAAACAACCCCTTACATTTACCCATCCCCAGTCTTCCGGAATCAACTGTTTTTCACGCCACATTTGAACATGTTAATAAACCCTTTCAATGTGAAGCTGTGCTGCTTCAGTAGTTAGTGGTAGTGTCGATAACTCAAAACTGCTAAATAAGTTTTGTCTAGCAATTAGGTAGGTACCTGACTTTTCTTCAGACATCTGTACTCATATTATATAGGTTTTTACTTTTACCACAATTTTTCACCAACCTGCAATAACTTTTTATGCTCCAGTGATTCAATGTTGAATATTTGGGGTTCACTAGAGAGGACTTTTTCCTTTTCCAAAACACTGAGTGCGGTTACTGCGGTTTTTCTGCCTTTCTTATGAAACGCAGAAGTCGTGTCGGAACCGGACATTGCGAGAAGGATCGAATATTGGAAACGATTGATTTATTGAACTCCTGCTCTAATTCGTATTTGTTATCCTATTTGATTTTCCTGCTGCACCAGATCTGACCTTATAAATATTATCTGTACTGTACTGATTAATGAGTAGAACCATTGAATCTGTATCTTTACCGCCAACAGTGACAACCGATTCTACGTCCGCGCTATAATTATTCATATATTTTTTTAATCTCAAACTATTTCAAAGTTATTTCAGTTTAATGAGGAAAATCCAATATTTTTGTATTTTGGTCCCAGAATGGGCCACTTCCCCTCATGGGATTCATGGGGATTTTTTTCTGTCAAGCCCATGGTATATAAAGATGATCCTAAGAAAATCAGCTTGTCCCAAATTTGTTTGAGGTTGGGGTCTAAATAATCTTAGTTTTACTGGTCTATAATGTATAATGTAAGTAATATACTTGTGATTTTGCCAGTATAATGCCATATGTTATTCCCCCAGAGAATAACAACGAGTAGAGGGTAATGGTCATTATTCCTCAAAAGTGTCAGTGTCAAACGTAGTGCTTGTGGATTTGTATTGATAATAATTGAGATGGATGAAATAATTTGTTCATTAAAAATCTCAAGTAAATTAATTTGTCGTAAATAAAGTAGAGTATACTACGCTGACGCGGCTCAGTTCATAAATATTCCTCGGGAATAATAGCTTTCATTATTGATTCGTCATATAATCTACTATTATTTGAGATTTTTAATGAACAAATTTCATCCATCTTAATTCTCAATACAAATCCACAAGCACTAAACGTTTGACGCTGACACTTTTGAGGAATAATGACCATTAATCCCTCTAACTCGTCATTATTCCCTGGGGGAATAACATATGACATTATACTGCCAAAATCAGAACTATAATACTTACATTATACATTAGTCGTTAATAAAATAAAAAATTACCCTTACTAGCTGCCCACAATCTAACACGTCAATATTAGTTTAATGTCTTTTAGAACCTAGTTCCATTACATATATGTATGTAGAAAGTTCAAACAGAAATTCGTGGTTATTACTTTTATAAAAGCATTAGACTCGAGTACAAATAGGCTCGAAAAGACTGGGAACTTATAACCATTAATACCTATATTAAAAACACTCGGAGAATCAAATTTTATGATGGAATAAAAAAGGATAGTTAGCAGTATTCGCGTATTCCCAGTTTAAAATTAAATAAGCCCATCAAGAGAACCTTCCGCGTCGCTGCTGAGAGTGAGCATCATGCGCGTCTCCGTCTCAAAAATTATTTCATATCTCAGTATTCTCAGTTATACTGCACTCGAGAAATTTGAAGTTAGTTTTAAAATATTTTTAAGATAGAGCTTATTTTATCAAGCAAGAGTAAGTTTTTTCAATATCTGGAATAGTTTTCGAGATATCGCAGGTTTAACACAAAATGGTAGTAAAGATTATCACTTTTTTAGCGTTATGAAACGGAGATAATTCGACTTTTATCTTCGGTTGGCCCATAAGCGCCAATGGTAATTTAAAATTTCAATAATTAATTAAAAATATAACTTTTATGAGAAATTTAATAATTTTTTGCCAAGATGTAGGGAAATTTGGGCTGAATTGCGGGATGCTCTTAGTTGAGAAAAATTGATTTGTGACCTTAAGGCTTCGACGAATTTGGGACAAGTTTATCAGTTATCTACAAAATGTCCCCAATTCATTTCCAAAGTCAAATCCTGTTAGCCAAAAAGTGCCTACGGGGTGACAAGATAGAAGCCTCGCGGCACTCTACTAAACATGGTTATAATTATTACAACAATCATTTAACTAAAAATTGGTTTCAAAATTTAATTCTGCTTTGTGCAGCTAAATTATGGAATTGGCGATGAGGTAAACCATACCTATTGCAACACATTTTTAGACAAGTTTAACACTTTTTTTCTTCTAGCACCTGATGAGTGATTTAGAAAAGCGCGAAATTCAATTCAATTCAGTATTGGAACGTGGAGAAGCTCTTATCCTCCAAGCACATCCAGCTACCAAAGCTATCGAAGCGCACTTAGCCGCAATGAATGCTCAATGGGCCTGGTTGCTCCAGCTCACCCATTGTTTGGAAACGCATCTGCAAAACACCAGGATCTATCAGCTTTTCTTTAAGGATATTGTTACTGCCGAGGAATGGCTTAAAGAGTAAGAATTAATTACCTTGATAAATTTTGGATACACCAACCGAATATTCTTCTTCAGGAAAGACGAAATCATGAACACTGAATTTAGTCAAGGTGAATTCGGCCTAGATGTTGGTGAGCGTCTTTTGCAAGGCATGCAAGAGCTCAGAGATGATCTCAATACTTTTGGAGATCAAGTGCAAGCCCTTGCCGAACGGGCGCAAAATGTTGTGCCACTCAAACAGCGAAGGCAGCCCATTACAAGGCCAATGACAGTCACTGCTATTTGTAATTACAAAAAGAACGATGTAAGTTTAATATTTTTCAAGGCATTTTATTTTTAAGATTTTGTAAATTCTAGTTTGTTATTGAAAGAAGCAAAGAGTGCACCCTAACTGATAATTCCGGTCGTACTAAATGGAGAGTACACAATTCCAAAGGCATAGAATGCCAGGTTCCAGGAGTATGTTTTGTCCTTTTACCACCAGACAAGGATGCTCTAGATGCAGTAGATCGTTTACAACGTCAATATGACCGCTCTCTAGCCTTGTGGCAAAAGAAACAACTAAGAATGAGACAAAACATGATTTTTGCAACCATTAAAGTTGTTAAAGGTTGGGATTTACCGCAGTTTGTTGCCATAGGAGCTGCACAAAGAAATGCAATTAGGAAAGCTTTAAATGAAGATGCTGATAAATTAATAGCTGAAGGTGATCCATCTGATCCACAATTGAGACGTTTGAGGCGAGAAATGGATGAGGTTAATAGGTTATTTGATGAATTTGAAAAACGGGCTAGAGCTGAAGAAGAAAGTAAAAACCAAACCAAGGTTTTCAATAATCAAATTTACAATCTTCAACGTGCGCTTGATGAAGCTGAACGTATTATTAATCAGCGAGTTGTATCCCCATTACCGAGAGATATCGACTCTTTACAACAACTAGTAAGAGAACATAAAGAATTTGAATCTAGACTACAAAGTTTGGAACCCGAAATTGAACAATGCAAGGAAACGTTCAGATCCATTACCCTCAAAACGCCCCAACACAAAAAAGACCTTGAAAAAATGCTTGAAAAATGGAAATACATTTGGAGCACCAGCCAATTGTATATAGAACGTCTTAAGTGCATAGAAATCGTTATAAATGGCATGGATGATGCTCAACAAGTAATTTCAGAGTTTGAACACAAACTTGCAGGTCTCAGAGAACTTCCCAACACACAGAAAGGCCTTAAAGCTGTACACGATGATTTATTGAAACTTGAAAGTGCAGTGGGTCAACAACAAATCGCCATGGACCAATTGAATGACGATTTTGATAATGCCAGGACTGTAACTGAAAAATCCAGGACCAACCAACGAGGACCACATTCTGATGTTGAACGTTTGGACAAAGATGTTCAAAGATTAAACAGTAGGTGGGCGAATGTGTGCCAACAATTAGCTGATAGGTTGAAAGGTTGCCAGCAAGCCTACGAATTGTTGCAAAAATATGCTGAAGTCAAACCAGTGGAAGATGATTGGTTGAATGAGCAATATGGTAAATTGGAGGCCTTGCAGCCTATCAAGGATAGAGCTAAGGATACTCTGGATTCCACTAGGGTGAGTCACTTACTAACTTAATTTATTGACACCATAATCCGGTTGTTTTTGTGGTTAGCGGATACACTTAACTGTTGTATCAGTATTAGTTTTTTAGTTAGATGGATTAACCGTCCTAACACCATAACATTTTGCACTTATTTACAGAATCTGTTGAACAGTGTAGTGGAGCGCACCCCTAAGATCGAGCACGTGAACTTAAACGGTGGTAGATTCATCAGGGAAGGAAAGGTAAACACTAAAAAATTACTGGTTTGCACTTAAAGCCAATTTAGGAGTATTCTCCTAAATTGGCCTGATGAATTAGATTGTAAGTCATGTTCCATACTCACAGTATTTAGGATTAACTCTTTTTACCATTTAGGTTAGTTTTATTTATTTAAGTATGAGTGAGCAAGAATGGTTGTTGATATTATGTGATTATTTCTTGGATATTTATTGCTACATTATCAAATATGTTTCTTCTGTTTTCTAATTAAGTGATCAATAGTTGGTGTATTTTAGTTTCCGCTTTTATTAGATTCCTAACTATTAGTGCTTCTTTTTTAATATCATTTGTCATTTTGAGACTGTTAGATTCATCATTTCAAGCTAGTTCATATAAGTTTTTTTTTTGTTTTAGCTGTAAAATGCTGTAGGTATTAAAAAGGGAAGAATTTGTGTAATTAAAAATTGAAAACTTAAAAACTTTTATATAAATCCATATTAGATGCTTATTCTATGAATATTTGTTTAAATATGCTTGAAAGCTTATATGCTAGCTATAAATACCAAAATCATCTACCATTTTCTTTAAAATTTCGGAATATTGGTGTTAACTTTAATTTTCATAGGGTTAATCACTAATATCACCTGTTGGATAGTAAATGATCAAATGCAAAATGGTTATTTACTCACGATTTTTTCTTCTAATTTCGGGATCCAAAATAAATAAAAACCGTCCATAGTTAATCATTTCCACTCCTTTTTTTAACACCAATATTTTTAAGAAGTAATCAATGGGTAAATATGTTTTTCTGATTATTTGTCAATAGGGGCAAAGCTCCAAACCATGACAAATTTCTAGATTTTAATGTTTGCTAAAAATTTGAGAAAAATTATAGACAAGACAAAGTGAATCTAAACTGAGATCTAAACTCACCTATTATCTGTTTTCTTGGAAATTCATGCTAGCTCAGGTTTATTGTGTTATTCTGATCCTAAATGACTTAGCATCTCCTTGCATTAGTCTATTTTATAATTTTCTAACAAAATAGGCTCCTTTTTTGATTACTTCTTCTTCACCTATCACACACTCCATACACACTCACGTAGACTTCATGTAATGTCGACTTACCACGCGTGCGCACTCACTTAACTAACACCTAACAATCTAACCGTAACAATAGATATGGAGCAAAGGCGTCCAAAAGTTCCGTGACGCCCTACTGGAAGCCCATCCATCGTTGGACGCCAGCGATCTCTTCACCAAACAAGATGATGCTGGTCTATCTGGAGCTGACATTGTCACAAAGGAATTGGATGAGTTTAACGATCGGTACCAGTACCTGGTGCAGATTTTGTACGGAAGACTGCAGGACATTGCACATATGAATCCGAACGACATAGTAACATTGGTAAGTATTTTCTTTTGTTAATATTTAATTAGAAAAACATCGAAAAATTGATGTCTGTAATTGAAATTCTTCGTCCTCTTCGTACTCTAACGATAAATTTCTGATCATGAGCAATCCTCTTCTGGCAAAATTGGAAATTAAAAAAGACTTTAATGGGGCCGCACCAGACTAATTTATTTTATTGAATGGCGCCTGGAGTGATGGTTTATGTTTCAAGCTAGAGGGAAACGTAGGATTAATAGGATCTCAGTTTCAGTATAAGGTCTCAGCCTCGGCTTAAGTAACTGCAGAGTTGGGCAGTGGTTGAGTATTTTTCGTAAATATGCTTGTTTAAATTTCCACAGAATTTTTCGCGGAAAACTCGATTTCAAACTGTGATAACAGTCCGGCGATTTTTCATATACAGTGTCTCCGATTATGTTCGCTAAATAATTATGGGAATTTTTTTTATTTGTTGGATTTGGAATTTTCTCTTATGTGAGATCGATTCTGCATGTCCGATAACCTATAAAAGTACATTTTGACATTGGTCACGTGATCACTGGTTGTGGCGGCAAATTCGAAAATTTAGATATGAAATTTGAAGTTTCAGTATATTATTTGAGAAGCAGAAATAAGCATTTCCCGAGGCATTTTCTTTCATTACACCCACCTTGTAGCAATACAGGGTGATACTAAAAAATTAGGTTGAAGATTTTTTTTCTATTATCTACTGTAAAATATTGTAGGTAATTTAACTTTTGGTTGATGAAATCAGGCATTTTTCCAACAATAAAACAATATACAGTGTCCCCCATAATATTCGCTACATGGGGATTTTTTTTGTTTTTAGGATAATTTTTTTTTATGTGCGATCGATCCTGTATGTCTAATAATCTAAAAGTACATTCTGACATTGGTCACGTGATCACTATTGTAGCGGCAAATTCTAAAATTTAGATATGGAAACGCGAAAAGTGGGGTTAGATGACAAAATTTCGAAAAAACTTATTTGGAAAAAGTGATAAGAATGATGTTTTAGGGCTTCCGTGAAATTTGGAGGAAAAAAAACAAAAAGCAGGAAATTACTTGTTTTTAGCAATGGATCTCTTATAAAATAATATCACACACTTTTATTGAAATAGTCCAAGTACCTCAATATTTAATGTGTATTGGTAAAACAAACTTAAATTTTTCATTGGAATGATTCCTAGAGGATTAAATAAAAATATTCGACTAGCACATAAAACTTTTCTGTAGCAATAATGTTGATACAACAATTGAAGATTCGTTATTGAGATTTTTTATTAAATATTTCAATACAGTTCTAAAACACCTTACTTAGCTGTCCAGATACAGAGTATTGCTACAGAAAAGTTTCATGTGCTAATCAATCATTTTTATTTAATTCTCTAGGAATGATTCCAATGAAGAATTTAAGTTTGTTTTACAAACACACATTAAATATTGAGGAACTTGGACTATTTCAATAATTAAAACTGCATAATATTAGTTGCAGATAAGAGATCCATGGCGAAAAACAAGAAATTTCCTGTTTTTTGTTGTTTTTCCTCCAAATTTCGCAGACAGTCCTAAAACATCGTTCTTATCACTTTTTTCAAATAACTTTCTCGAAAATTCTGCCATTTAACTCCACTTTTCACGTTTCCATGTCTAAATTTTCGAATTTGCCGCCACAGCAGCGATCACGTGACCAATGTCAAAATGTGCTTTTAGGTTATCGGACATGCAGGATCGATCGCACATTAGAAAAAATTCCATATCCTACAAATAAAAAATTTCCCCATATGCAGCAAACATTATGGGGACACTGTATATTCCCAAAGTGATATATTTTTAATCTCTAGCGTGTACAGGGTGGTCCAATTTGGACACTTTCAATAGGAAAAGCTTTACAATTTTTTTTATTTATGAAAATAATTGATTTCCGTAAAAAAACTTTCTAAAGGCACTTTTTCAAGTAAAATCTAATGACATTCTCAGTTTTTTGATATTCTGCCAGTATTCCGAGATATTGACCAAAGTCCGATTTTTCTAAATAGGAAACCCTATATTCTAATGACTCATTGGATAGCCCTGCTTTTGCTGATTTCAATGATATAAAGTTCGATACGTTTATCTTTAAGATTTTTTTGAGAAAAAAAATAAAATCCGTTTTTGTCATGAGAACCTTCCTTTTTAGAAAAGGACTTTAAGTATATCTGTAAGGAAAATGAGAAAGGTAATTTTCCAACACATTGTTTTTTTATGACAAAAACATATTATTATGTATATTTTTTTTCTCGAAAACTGTTAGAGATTAACCTATCGAACTTTATATCATCCTTCCTCTTCTTCTTCAAGTGCCTTGTCCTCTAGGAACGTTGGCAATCATCAGCGCTATCTGTATATTGTCGACTGCTAAGTATGATTGCAGCACCTCTTACAAAAATATTGAAATTATAAACAATAAGATCATAAGCTCTATTACAAACTTGAGAAGATTCTGCACTAATATAAACTATCTTGATCTTTATAATAAGTTCAGGTACTCGGATTGCTGTGGAGGCATTTTTCTGAATAAAAAGGGTTTTACTAAAATGGCTTCATTTATTAATTCTATGGTGGACAAATTTAATGACTTATCTTCTTGTTGTTGTTTAAAAGCAACTGACTTATGTGTGGACAATGCCGGTAACGATTTAGAATTATGTATTGATACATTAAAACTAACCATTGACAAGAATTTAGAATTAGGAATTGACAAAAATTTAGAATTAGAAATTGACGAATATTTAGAACTAGACACTAACAATAATGTCTCCAGTATGACTTTTCTAGAACCCTCTTTCTCAGAAACTCTAAAAAACTGACCACAAACCCAATTTCAATTTTGTCTTTAAATATATCGGGTCTTCAAAAAAAAACCAATCAAAGATTGCTTTGATTACGAAAACGTACGTCGCATTATTGTTTCTTTATTGGTCAGAATTTTTGACATGACATTTTGACATTGAAGCTCATTGATAAATTAAAGAAAAATATTGCTAAGACATACGTTTTAAAAACCATAGCAATCTTTGATTGTTTTTTTTTTTTTGAAGACCAGATACAATCTCTCCGCAATAAAATAGATGCATTTGAGGTCTTAATAAACCAGATTTAGTATTACCGTATTACTTACTTACAGAACACTGGCTGAGGGTTTGGGAACCATTTAATTCACCATCAGATTATTTCATTGTGACAAAAGTATTGCAGAGACCTCTGATGGGCATGGAGGTGCAAAGGTTTTAATTGAAAAGTCGTTTTTTTCAACTTCTGCATTGGAAGATGTGAATAAATTTGATTTTTTATGCATAGAAAAAGAATTCGAGTTTTCAATAGGATTCAACAGAAAAAATAAGTTTATAGGCCGCCTAGTGCGAATGCATCAAATTTATTAATAAATCTAGAAAAAATTATTGCATTCCTACGGATTACCCATGTTTGTCAATTCCCCGACCAGAATAACTGGAGAACCTGCATCTTTGATTGATTACTTTTGCACAAATATACCTGAATCAAGATAAAGTTAACTGCAATGTAATCGCCACTCCAAACCTCTCTGATCACGAGGCATTGCTGGCCAGGTTCAACTTGTTTCGGGACTGTATAAAAATACCATCTAAATATGGAAGAATTTTGAGATATTGTTCTTCCGCTGATTGTGAATGCATATCCATATCTAAATCTGCAAATCCACTTGAAAGATTTCATTGCGTTGTATGATACTTTTGACAGGTGCTTTCCATTACGCAAGTTAAGAGCAAAAAATCCCAAAAAGTCATGGCTAACAAAGGGCATAAAACTTGCTTCTAAGAATTTAAAATCACTTAATTGTATATAAAAATTTACAAAAACCCTTCCTTTGACAACTATTTGAAAAATTATAAACGAATCTACAGATAAGTAATTAAAACAGCTAAACGCTGGCACTATCAAAATAGGATAAATAATGCTAAAAATGCCGCAAAAGAAGCATGGGCAGTTGTAAACTACCTTATGAAAAAAAAAACAGCCTTGCCAAGCCACCTGCTGAAATACAAGTAATAGTATATTACATACCGAGGTGGGAAGTGTTTCATTACTGTCAAGAGATTAGTTAGTTAACTATAATCTTGAGACAGGACTGAAACTTCCTACCGAGGTTTGTATACTATTTTATTTACAATAATTACAACCATCACAATTTTTGGCTAAATGTTGAATAAAAATTGAAAAAATTCGTTGACAAGTTCTGAAAAAAAAATGGACATGCAGGACTTGTTTTTAACATTTTAGGAAATTAGGGCTTACTTTCCACCTGGGTGGAAAGTGAGCACTTTCCACCCGGGACCACTTTCCACCCGGGAGAAAAGTAAAATTCAAAAAAGTGTCACTTTCAAACTTTTGAAAACTCAGAAATGTCAACATTACGTATGTGGTTGTAAATAAAAGCTTTTATTTGCAACCATAGTTATATTTTGGCATGTTTTGTTTTATTTTTTTAATATTAAAAAAATTGAATGACTAATCATAATTAATGGTGTGCTTGCAAATAAAATAGTATACAAACCTCGGAGGAAAGTTTTTATTTCTTTCTCGAGATTAATAGTCAATCTCGACGCTTCGCGTCTCGAATGACTATATAAATCTCTCGACAGTAATGAAACACTTCCCTACTCGGTATGTAATATACTATTAATCAATTTTATTGTACAGTTCCAAAAAGACTCTCAGATAATTTAGCATCCCTAGCAAATCCCCTATATTTTCTTAATCACCAAGCATATATCGGCGAACCATTTATACTGACTGAAACAAATGCATATGAATTAAAAGCTATAATAACATATTAAAAACAAGAACTCTGCGGAAATCGATGAAATTTCAGTCAAAATAGTTCAAAATCCTAATGACCTTAAGAAAACCTCTTCCAACCTGGTACTTACTAATCATCATCCATTTGGATTTTTTTTTGGCGTTCAATTTTAATCCAA